TTATCAATAATACTTCAGTGAGCATCATTGCATATGACTATTTGTCCCATGTATAGTAGCATCTGTAGGATAGATTCTTGGCAAAGAATTCTTGGCCTAAGGGTATATTTACTTTTTAGGCTTATAGATACTACCCAGTTGTCTTAAAGAAGTTGTACAGTTTTCTAAATCACATATTTTAGAGTTTTTTTCCTCATACCTATCCCTCCCAACTACATATAGTTTTTTTTTTACTTTGCCAATATAATTATAATTGTGTATTATATTTATCTAATTATAAATGAACATTAGTATCTTAAAATCACTGTTGCCTTCTTTCCACCCAAAAGCTTCCTTTTTAAACCCTTGAGTGGGGCCACTGCGGTGGTGTAGTGGGTAAAGCTGCTGCCTGCAGTGCCAGCATCCCATATGGGTGCCAGTTCGAGTCCCGGTTGCTCCAGTGAAAGCAATGGAAGATGGCTCAAGTTCTTGGGTACCCAGTACCCATGTGGAAGACCTGGAAGAAGCTCCTGGCTCCTGGCTTTGGATTGGTGCAGCTCAAGCCATTGCAGCTGTCTGGGAGTGAACCAGCAGATAGATGACCTCTCTCTCTCTTTCTGCCTCTGCCTCTCTGTAACTCTGCCTTTCAAATAAATAAATAAACCCTCAGATAATATTCTTATTGTGTCCAGTAATTCAAAATGATGGCTACAATAAGTCTCTGTGTTTATTTAAGTCTAAATTTGAGCTTTCTATTACATTTATTTTACTATTTGTATCCAGCAGAACCGTTTTTGTAAATTACCATAGCTTTAATAGAAGTCTTAATATATATTAGTTTAGTTGTACTTTTCAAGAATTTCCTGAAATAATCTTCCAAGTATTTTGTTGTTGTTGCTTTTGTTGATAGTGTTGGAGTTGTTTCATTAAAATAACACGGAAATGCACACTGCTAAAAAAATGAGCCAGAAATTATAATTTTGAACACATTTATGAGACAGGAAAAGCTTTGTGTACAAGATTTAATAAGAAATAGGATTTAAAATCATATGCAATAAGGGAAGATAAAAAAGAACCAACAAAGGCAAGAAAACTGAATAAATGTTCTAAATATGAGAGTCTATGAAGGAATCACAAGTTCTCTGGAATAAAACATGGACTTGAATTTTGAATGTGATTTAAGCAGCCAGCTAGTCTCATAGGTCAGCATTTATAACCCCTATTTTTAAGGCCTTGACAAACAGTAGCAGTGTTCTGACCTTAAACTTAAATTCCTTGAACTCTTAGTGCCTGTGAGTGTGCACCTGACATTCCTTTCCCCAGCATGCACTTCACTAGTCACAAGAAGCCATCATTAACACCTACCCTGGTAGGGAGTATAACTTATAGAGAAGCTAACAAGTTGTGAGACTGGGGAAGATAAACAAAGTTAGCAAACTGCTATCTCTGGCAGACTGACCTTTAATCATGTCAAGATCCAGACCTTTTGGCATCACTTCAGTGATCACAACTGCAGGAACCTTGTGTTTGACTCTATTCCAGGTAACCATCTCTCTTTCTTGGAACATATTTTGAGAGGTACTTTGAGGACTTGATTTCCTATAGATTTGTGCTTTGCACAATTTAACTACTCCTACTTAAAACATTTTCCTCAAGAAGGCATTACCAGCAACCTGTACTTTATTATAGAGAGAGACACAGGAAACAAATTGTCCGTAATATTAGTCTTGATTTTGTTTATGTATTACCATTGCTATCAAAATGCAATGCAAATTTTAACCTTTGTTTAACTTTGCTATGCAGTGAAAATTTCAAAAATAAAAAATGCTATTGACATGGAGAAAGCTGCTGTGGCTGGATTAATTTAAGGCATGTTTGCTGTTGCCTGCAACCACACTTGATGCTTGACAGTTTTTCAATACTGCCTGATGTAGACAGAACCGCTTTAGGGTTCATTTTGCTTCTGCTCTAACATTCCTCTCTGACCAAAACCTGCATCTCCATATCTGTGTTACTTGAATGCAATGTGTCTGAAAGATTTAGGTCTAAAGTATATTAAGACTTCACTCAACATTTCATTATAACTCAGAAGTCTGACAGCTAATGAATTGGCAGTGAGGTGGCTATAATGTGATATTGTGTAATTTGAAGACACACAGAGAAGATTAGGAAGTGACTTGAAAGTAAAATGTTGGCTTTATTTGTTTATCTGTTACGCTGAATCCCAAATGATTTCATTGACTCATAAGTAAACTTTCTTCATGGGCAAAATCTGAATGTTCATTTCCCTCTCTGTTAGTATGCAAATCTATTCGCAGCATTCTAGCAATTGAGAAGGCAACTCATCTTCTGGGCTTATAAATTGTTCAATACCACACTCTCTGATGGCCAATTCATGGCTCCATCTGCAACTCCACAAATCTCTCTACCCAGATAAACTTGGTGGAGTAAATACAAGGTGATAAAGAAGATGTGTTTTGGGGAAAAAAGACCTTGCTCACTCCAAACTCCCAAGTCTTCCATTTGAAGTTTTCTGACTTCTCTTTTGTACCTGCATTTGTATGTTATATTCTAAGAGAATAAATGCTTCAATTGGCTTCCTCAACCTGGATTTGGAAGCTATATATAAGTGATATTTAAAGATTTTTCTATTAGTACACTGGAATCCCAGTTCAAAGGGGAACACAGACAAAAACACCAGAAAAGAGTCCTTTTCTTTGTGATGGTGGTTATGAAATATTGTAAATTATAAGGTTCAAAACAAAAAAAATAAGATAATTGTGCTATAATGCTGTAGGCAAGGGTTTCTTAAAGCAATCAAGGTTACCACTTTTCCCCTCTTTTTTGATTAAGATTACAAATTTTGACAGGAATGCCATGCGATTTTAAACAAGCCTCAGTCTTAAAGTAGGTTAAAGTCACATGTTCACGAAGTATTTAATATCCATTGCTGCTAATAGGATTAACTTCTGTTTCTATACATTTGGTATATGGTTCCTTTGCATGAAGATACTCAGAAATAATTAACCCCCTTCCTATAGCTAAAACTTGAGAATAAAATGTGCAAGGTGCATTGAAGCTTCTTAGAGCCAACAAACTATCCATATACAAAAACCAGAAAATGCTTTCAGGTCTATCTATAATGGTTTGCAAAAAGACATCTGGTTCAAAGACATCTGTCTTCTGTCACTGTTGGGTTTGAGATTCCACCCAGGGCTGGCACTATGGCAAAACGCATAAAACCACCACCGCCTGCTCCCTGCTAATTAGGTGCCTGCAAACATGCCTGTGAAAGCAGTGGAGGATGGCCCAAGTGCCTGGGCACCTGCCACCCACATGAGAGACCCAAAAGAAGCTCCTGGCTCCTGGCTTTGGCCTGGGCCAGCCCTGGTCTTTGCGGCCATCTGGGGAGTGAACCAGCAAATGGAAGATCTCTCTCTCTCTCTTGCTCGCTCTCTCTCGCTCTCTCTCTAACTCTGACTTTCAAATAAATATTTTTTAAAAAGGATAACATCTCATTCAATGAAATCTGAGTTGAAATTTCATTAAAACAAAAAGAAAAGATTCTACCTAGATACTCTTTAATTAAAGTCTGTACACTGAAAATAGACCCTGCTATGGTGTCTTCAATTAAAAAGAGAAACAGAATGATATAAACCCGTATTGTCTCTAGATACTGTTTGTATTAAAGGATTAGACAAATGAGATGCTTGGATTTTATTGTTTGAAACATGTGTTTCAGTTGGTGCTCTCGGATCTACCATGTGAAGAAAATGAAATGTAAGTAAATAGTAAGAGATCCCATGTTTTAACTTGTTATTTTAAAATTCTGAAGAATTAAAAAGCCTTAATTCATTTTAAAATCCCCAAATGAGTTTCCAATGATCACTATAATCATATAAGAAAAAAAGTACATGGTTTTGAAATGCAGATGGCTTCATTTTCTAAAACAGGAAAGATCCTTTTTATTATGATCAGTTTTGTTATATAAATAAAGGGACGTTGATTTCTTGATTCTTAATGCTCAGTGAATTTCGCTCCCTTGAGGTTTCAGAGATACTCTAAGTTCATGAAAGAATCATAGTATAATCTATGGCTTCATTCATACTCATAAGTCATGGCAACAATGGGAGGCCGTCTTTGAGATAATTCAGTTTCAACTCTAAGGAAATAAGCCAAATTCTAACCTGTGGGATGCGTGAATTTCAAAGTGTTTTTGATATGAATTATGTGAATAATCAATTAAATTTTCTCACTTTTTCTACTGTAGACTTAATGGTTCTCAGAATTCTGGTCAGGAGATAGGAAGAAGGTGCCATTAATAACGCTGCTGATGATTAATGTTAACTGTAATGCAATGTGACTTAGCAAAAGTGTCAGAAAAACTTCTCTGCCAAGCACTGTCTTCTGGTTGCAGCCCTCACTCCCAGCCAGCTGTTGTCAATTATCCTTGCCTGTTGCCCTCAATCTGGAGTCTTTTGGCACTGGAGCTAGAGCAAGAGGCCATGCTAGGAGGGGTGTTTTCTTAGGCCCTGGAACCATGCACCTGATTCTGGTAGATTATCTTTTTGTTGACAATTTGCTTATTACATTTGTGCCACCCTTTCTGCTCCTGCATAGTTCTCCATTTATGTTTATTCTAGCATTTAATTTTCTGTTCATTCTAGCACTTAATATGCGATCTTTAGCTGTTTGTGACATAGGAGAGTTTTTGATTGCTATAGGGTTACCTGACATTGGCCATCGTGGCTGCTCTTATCTTGCCTTTTCAGTTCTTTTGTTTGCTTTTAAAAGATTTTTTAAAATTTTGAGATAACATTTTAATTTACATTATAGTCAAAGTCTTAATGGTTCACGAAATAAAAACTTCAACAAGTAAAAAGTAAAATATAAAAGAAAAACACGGTTCAGCGGGAATATAGGCAAGAACTGTAGACAGTAATCATAAATAATAATCACATGAAGTGAAGTCAATTTCACTTACAGAGAGTAAATTTTAAAAAAATCATAGATAATTAAGACTATCGTACTATATCAGTTTTAACAATCTGTTTTGCAAAGATATAAAACAATTGAAAAATCTATACTTGCAGGAACACAAACATTTATTTATTTATTTGAAAGGAAGAATGACAGAGAGTGAAGGAGAGACAGGGATAGAGAGAGACAGAGATCTTCCACCCACTGCTTTTTTCCAGAATTGGCTACAACAGCCAAGGTTGTGCCAGGCTGAAGCCAGGAGCTAGGGATTCCATCCAGGTCTCCAGCTGAGTGGCCAGGGTCCAAGCACTTGGTCCATAGTCTGCTGCTTTCCCTGGCACATGAGCAGAGAGTTAGATAGAAAGCAGAATAGCCGGGATTCAAACCAGCACTCCAGTATGGGATGCTAATGTCACAAGCCATGGCTTAACCTACTGTACCACAGTGTTGGTCCCAGCTTCTTCATCTCCTGTTTGTTGTATAGAATAATACGATAAAACAATTCATCATTGGAAATTATCTTAAACATTGAATGCAATTTTCTAATCATCATAACAGGAAAATATGTGTTTGACAAGTGTTTATACTCATTTTAGAGACTTTGAGGTTACTGGTCTCCTTCAGGTGAAGAAATTGAGACCCAGAGAGACATAGTAAATAAGTTAATAGCAGTTCTTCAACATTTACTTAAGTTGAAGTTGTGCTATTAACTTACTTACTATGTCAGCAACATTTATGCCCATATCATCTTGCAGTTAAGTATCTGTTGTATTAATCACTATTTGATACCAACAGTTTTGGAATACCAAGATAGACCAATAGGGAAAGATGTGCTTTTTATGGCCATGTGAAGATAATAGAAGAAAAGCAGAGGCAGTGTATTTCCAGGGCAGAGTTACAGTGAAGTTTGCAGTGGAAAAGAGATGCCATGGAGCAGCATGGGCAGTACAAACATGCAGCAGCAAGCAGAGAGACCACCTGCAACCCCCTCAGCCCGGGACTGGAGGAGACACCAGCTGCTCAAAGTGAGGTGAGACCAAACTGTGACACCACATGTCACTGGTGATGTTGCCTGAGAATCTTGTTAACCACGATGGCTTTGATTTCTGACTGGAGCCCTAGCAGAGGTCAGCATACCAACATAACCTGGTGAAAGAAAAGTATATTGCTTTCTTTCCATTGCCCCAGAAGGGTGCCCTGTGATCAGCAGGGAGAAAGCATCATCTTAATGCCAGTATAGTCTGGGGAAGCTTAGGCAAGTGCCCACCTAGAAGATTTTTATCAGAGGAATAAACTTTGAGCCTGGCCTGGAGGACTGGCAGATGGTTAGGCATTTACTTAGGACTGCCAGGTGCTCCCATTCCTCAAGCCTGTCTCAGGCTCTGGGGCTCAAACTGCCAAAGCAGAACACCCACAGTAAACTGTCTATGGGAATGCCTCTGCTGTGAATGGGGCAGGCTTGCAGAGCTGAGATTGCATCCTCTGACCCCCGTGACTATGGAGCCTTGTGCAATATGACTGAGGGGATTCTGTGACTGCACAATAGGTAATGGTTGTAGCTGGGTCTCTGGGCAATCATTCAGTCTGATGTCTGAGGCTCAGAGCTACCTGATTACCTGGAATGTGTGATTGTAGGATGCTCCATGCTCACATTGAGGACTTCACAGATCATTTATATAGTTTATGTGCTGGAGATTGTAGTTTATGCTGGAGATTGTAGGCACTGTGAGTTAATGTTGTGCACCTATCACCTTGGAGGAGAGGAGGTGAGGCTGTGATTATGCCAGCAGATGTAATTATACCCTCCTCCCTACAGTGAAGATCTATCACTCCCAATTTGGGTGTCACCCTGTATTCTCACCACACCCTTGAGCACTGATCAGAATTCCCTGGCCCTACCCAGCAAATGTCTCCTTATATTCACTCAAGTATCAGACACTCCTCTAAGCCACAAAGGCATAGTTCAGAGATAAAAGCCATCAGAGGAGAACACCAACACATGTTTCCACAAATGCCTAAAATAAACAGAAAAATACAAAAAAAGTAGAATAAGAAACACAACAAGACTCCTCAAAATGAACACAACAGCCCCTAATATTAGAATGTGAAGGCAAAGAGATTAATAAAATACTTAAAAATGAATTCAAAGGAATGATCATAAGATTACCCAGAAACACAGAGAAACAGATTCACGAGGTGAAAAAAATCCTACGTGATACGGTTGAAAATGTTGCCGAGAGATAGAGATATTGAAGAGAAATCAAGCAGAAATATTAGAAATGAAGGACTCAATATGTCAAATAGAAAATACAATGGAAAGCTTCAACAACACACTCGGTGAGTCAAAAGAAAGAATATACAAGTTAGAAGATAAATCCTTGGAAATATCTCAGTCAGAACAAAAAATAAAAATAGAAAGACTGAAAATAGTGTTTGAGATTTATGGTATATTATCAAATGACCAAGTAGATGTCTTACTGTAAGTTCCTGAATGTGTAGAAAGAGAGAGTGGATTAGAACACTTATTCACAGAGATAATCGCAAAAACTTGCCTAATTTGGAGAAACAAAGAAGCATCCAAGTACAGGAAGCATACAGAACTCATAATAGATAGGGTCAGAAAAGATCTTAACCATGATACATTATAGTCAAATTTTCAACAGTAAATCATAAAGAACAGATTCTAAAATGTGCATGAGAAAGATGCCAGATTACCTTCAGTGGATCCCCAGTTACACTAATAGCTGATTTCTCATCAGATACCCTATAGGCCAACAGAGAATGTGGGGACATAGTACAAGTCCCAAATGGAAAAAAAAAAACTGTCATCTCATAATACCCAGCAAGCAAAACTCTCAAAATTGCAAATGAAATAAATATCTTTCAAAACAAACAGAAATTGAAAGAATGTCACCATTTGTCCAGCCTTAGCAATAATTCTTAATGAGTGCTACACACAGAAATAGAGAATGATAGTCATCAACAAAAGAATATGAAGGCAGAAAATCTTCTTGTAAAAGTATAAAGGAAATCCAAAGCAGACAATATGTAAGAAAAATGGTAAGACCAAGTCATTACTTATCAATAATAACCTTGAATCTAAATGGCCTAAATTCTCCAATTAAAAGATACAGACTGGCTGAATGTAGTAAAAACAAGACTCATCTATTTGCTGCCTACAAGAAACACACCTTACCAACAAAAATACAAAAAAAAAACAAACTTAAAATGAAAGGACAGAAAAAGATATGCCATGCTAATGGAAAGCAAATGTGAGCAGATGTAGCCATTCTAATATCAGACAAAATAGACTTAAACATGAAAACTGATAAAATGACAATGAAAGGCATTATGTAAGATTAAGGGATACATTCAACAGGAAAATGTGACTCTAATAAATACATATGCACTGAATGGCAAGGCACTTGGCCATCTCAAATGAATGTTCAGGGATATAAAAGGAGACATAGACTCCAAAACAATAGTACTGTGGGACTTCAACACCCCAATTTCATCAACTGACAGATCAACTATACAGAAAATCAACACAGAAACAACAGAGCTAAACTACTCTATGGACCAAATGGACCTAATTAATATTTACAGAACATTTCATTGCATAGTTATAAAATATGCATTCTTTTCATCAATGCATGGAACTTTCTCAAGGGCATATTGTATGCTAGGCCATAAAGCAAGTCTCAGTGAATTAAAAAGAATTGAAATCGTATCATGTATCTTTTTGACCACAGTGGAATGAAGCTGGACATTAAACTTAAGAAACTATAGGAAATATGAAAATACGTGGAGACAAAACAACATGCTTCTGAATGAAGAGTCGGTCATAGAAAAATCAAAAGGGAAATTAAAAAATTCCTGGAAATGAATGAAGATTCCAACATAACATATCAAAACTTACAGGACACAGCAAAAGCTGTGTATTTTATCAAATGCTTTCTCTGCATCTACTGAGATAATTATATAGTTATTATTCTTCAGTTATTAATGTGATGTATCACATTTAAGAGGGAAGTTTGTAGCAATTAGTGCCTACATGAAGAAATTGGAAAGACATCAAATAAATATTTCAATGCATCTCAAGGACATAGGAAAACAGCAACAAACCAAATGCAAAATTAGTAGGAGGAAAGAAATGATTAAAATTAGAGAAGAAAAAACTTGAACATCCCCCACACCCCAAAAAAGATAGAAAAGATCAAGAAAGAATAAGATGGTTTTTTGGAGAGAGAAACAAAATTGATACACCATTGGCCCAACTAAACAAAAAAAGAAGACCCAAATTTACAAAATCAGAGATGCAAAAGGAGATGTAACGATGGATACCACAAAAGTAAAAAGAAGCATGAGGATTTACTAGAAACAGCTATATGAAAACAAATTAGAAAATCTAGAAGAAATGAATAGATTTTTGCACACAAATAATCTACCATAACTGAGTCATGAAGACATAGAAAACCTAAATAGATGAATAACCAACTTGGAGATTGAACCAGTAATAAAGAACATCCCAGCAAAGAAAAGCCAAGGACCAGATGGCTTCACAGCTGTATTCTACCAAATGTTCAAAGAACAAATTCCAATTCTTCACAAACCGTTCAAGATAATTTAAAGTGTGGGAATTCTTCTAAACTCCTTCTATAATGCCAGCATCACCTTAATTCCAATTCCAGAAAAAGATACAACAGAAAAAGAGAGCTACAGACCAATATCCATGATGAATATAGATGCAAAAATCATCCACAAAATGCTAGTTAATTGAATCCAGAAACACATCAGAAAGATCATTCTCTTGGACTAAGTGGGATTTATCCCTGGTATGCAGGAATGGTTCAACATACTCAAATCAATAAATATGATACATCACATTAATAAACTGAAGAATAAAAACTATATAATTATCTCAGTAGATGCAGAGAAAGCATTTGATAAAATACAACATTCTTTCATGATAAAAACCTTAAGCAAATCGGGTGTAGAAGGAACATTCCTCAAAACAATTAAGGCAATTTATTACAAATCCACAGCTAGCATCATATTGAATGGAGAAATATTGGAAGCATTTACACTAAGGTCAAGAACTAGAGCACAATGCTCACTTTCACATCATTGCTATTCAATATAGTTCTGGAAGTTTTAGGTAGAACCACTAGACAAGAAAAACAATCAAAGGCATACAAATGAGCAAGGAGGAAGTCAAATTATCCATGTTTGCAGATGACATATTCCGTATCTGGGGGAACCAAAAAAAAATAATGCCATGGCTGAGAAAGAACTTGTAAGATCAGTATCATTCTCCATACTACAAAAAGCTTAAGTACCTGGGAATACATGTAACCAAGGATGTGAAAGAACTCTACAATTAAAATTACAAAACATGAAAGAAAGAAATAGAAGAAGACACAAAAATATGGAAAAATCTTCCATGTTTGTGGATAGAAAGTTAATATCATCAAAATATCCATACTACTACAAGCAGTTTACAGATTAAATGTGATACCAATGAAAATAGCAATGAAATTCTCAAATATAGAAAAAAATGATGCTAAAATTTATATGGAAACACAAGAGTCCCAAAATAGCTAATGCAAAATTAAACAACAAAAACAAACCTGAAAGTAATCACAATACCAGGGCATACTAAAGGGCAGTTATAATCTACACAGCCTAGTACTGGGACAAAAATAGATATGTGGACCAATGGAACAGAATAGAAACCCCAGAAATTAATTCACATATGTAATACCAACTAATCTTTGCTAAACAAGCTGAAATCAATCCCTGGAGAAAGGACAGTCTCTTCAATAAATGGTGCTGGAAAAAAATGTATCTGCATATGCAAAAATATGAAAAAAGACCCTGACCTTATACCTTATACAAAAATTAACTCAAAATAGATGAAGGACCTAAAGCTATGACCCCATACCATCAAATTACTAGAGGAAAATAGGGGAAACTCTGTAAGACACTGACATAGGCAAAGACTTCTTGGAAAAGACCTTGAAAGCATGG